TTTCGTCGGGAGAGGTGTTTTGTTTTTATTTTTGTTTTTAATTTCAAAAATATAAAATTAGTTTCTTTACTTTTGTTTTTTTGCCAACTTCTTTAATTTAATATATGTAATTAAGTAACATCTTAGCCTTTTTGAATTACTATAATTAGTAATTATGTTTTAATTACTTTTTTTTAGTGAATATTTAAATATGTTACTTACTTAATAAATAGTGCATTTCGTTTTTTATTTTTTTATATTAAATAATAATTAAAATATAATATATTTAAAGAGTATAGAATCACTGTATTAATACAATAAGCAATGTGTTTCTATAAGAACAAATTATACAAACTGCAAAATAAAATAACACTGAAATATGTCTTATTCTTGGCGACCTTGAGTATGCTTCTTCTCCAAAATGCAAAGTTAAAAAAAAGTGTCTTGTTCTTTTAATTTAAATTTTGCTGTGCAAAAACCGAAAAATAAATACTTATTTTCATTTCGACATTTTTTTTTTTTTTTCCTTACAAATAGTATAGCCGTGCGACTATACTAATTTTGACACGTGGCACCTAATCCCAAGGAGTGTCATCCTTATATATATATATGTATATGTATATAGTATAGCCGTGCGGCGATACTTATTTTTTTTATTTTCTTTTTTGTTAAAATAGTATCGCCGACCGGCTATACTCTGTTTTTATTCATGTTTCTTCCAAAATAGTATAGCCGTTCGGCCGTACTCAAAAATTGTAATATTTTAAAGTATGGCCCTTTTAAGTAGCATAATACGGATCTCTCTTTTTGAATTACTTGGATTAGTAGTTATATTTTAGTTATTATTTACTTAGTGAATATTAAAGGAAAAAAAATAGAAAAATTGAATTGCTATTTATTAAGTATTATAATTCATGAAGTTAATGAAAATATTTGATACTAATTATTTACTAAAGAAATAATAATTAAAATAGAATTACTAATTTAACTAATTAGATAAGGCAAGATATTGTTTAATTACTAAAAATAATTTTTTGAAAGATGAATTAACCTAAACATACTAAGTTTATATTTATTTTTTACAAAAAATCTTTCCCGACGAAATTTCGTCGGCAAAAGTAAATTTCGTCAGGAGAGGTCTAGTCCGACAAATTTTTGTCGGCATAGACTTTTCCCGACGAAATTTCGTCGGGAGAGGTGCTTTGTTTTTAATTTCAAATATATAAAATTAGTTTCTTTACTTTTGTTTTTTTGCCAACTTCTTTAATTTAATATATGTAATTAAGTAACATCTTAGCCTTTTTGAATTACTATAATTAGTAATTATGTTTTAATTACTTTTTTTTAGTGAATATTTAAATATGTTACTTACTTAATAAATAGTGCATTTCGTTTTTTATTTTTTTATATTAAATAATAATTAAAATATAATATATTTAAAGAGTATAGAATCACTGTATTAATACAATAAGCAATGTGTTTCTATAAGAACAAATTATACAAACTGCAAAATAAAATAACACTGAAATATGTCTTATTCTTGTCGACCTTGAGTATGCTTCTTCTCCAAAATGCAAAGTAAAAAAAAAGTGTCTTGTTCTTTTAATTTAAATTTTGCTGTGCAAAAACCGAAAAATAAATTACTTATTTTCATTTCGACATTTTTTTTTTTTTCTTACAAATAGTATAGCCGTACGGCTATACTAATTTTGACACGTGGTGCCTAATCCCAAGGAGGGTCATCCTTTTATATATATATATATATATAGTATAGCCGTGCGGCGATACTTAGTTTTTTTATTTTCTTTTTTGTTAAAATAGTGTAGCCGGCCGGCTATACTATGTTTTATTCATGTTTCTTCCAAAATAGTATAGCCGTGCGGCTGTACTCAAAAATTATAATATTTTAAAGTATGGCCCTTTTAAGTAGCATAATACGGATCTCTCTTTTTGAATTACTTGGATTAGTAGTTATGTTTTAGTTATTATTTACTTAGTGAATATTAAAGGAAAAAAAAATAGAAAAATTGAATTGCTATTTATTAAGTATTATAATTCGTGAAGTTAATGAAAATATTTGATACTAATTATTTACTAAAGAAATAATAATTAAAATAGAATTACTAATTTAACTAATTAGATAAGGCAAGATATTGTTTAATTACTAAAAATAATTTTTTGAAAGATGAATTAACCTAAACATACTAAGTTTATATTTATTTTTTACAAAAAAATTTTCCCGACATAAGTAAATTTCGTCAGGAGAGGTCTAAACCGAAAATTTTTTGTCGGCATAGACTTTTCCCGACGAAATTTCGTCGGGAGAGGTGTTTTGTTTTTATTTTTGTTTTTAATTTCAAATATATAAAATTAGTTTCTTTACTTTTGTTTTTTTGCCAACTTCTTTAATTTAATATATGTAATTAAGTAACATCTTAGCCTTTTTGAATTACTATAATTAGTAATTATGTTTTAATTACTTTTTTTTAGTGGATATTTAAATATTGTACTTACTTAATAAATAGTGAATTTCGTTTTTTATTTTTTTATATTAAATAATAATTAAAATATAATATATTTAAAGAGTATAGAATCACTGTATTAATACAATAAGCAATGTGTTTCTATAAGAACAAATTATACAAACTGCAAAATAAAATAACACTGAAATATGTCTTATTCTTGGCGACCTTGAGTATGCTTCTTCTCCAAAATGCAAAGTTAAAAAAAAGTGTCTTGTTCTTTTAATTTAAATTTTGCTGTGCAAAAACCGAAAAATAAATTACTTATTTTCATTTCGACATGTTTTTTTTTTTTCTTACAAATAGTATAGCCGTACGGCTATACTAATTTTGACACGTGGTGCCTAATCCCAAGGAGGGTCATCCTTTTATATATATATATAGTATAGCCGTGCGGCGATACTTAGTTTTTTTATTTTCTTTTTTGTTAAAATAGTATAGCCGACCGGCTATACTCTGTTTTTATTCATGTTTCTTCCAAAATAGTATAGCCGTGCGGCTGTACTCAAAAATTATAATATTTTAAAGTATGGCCCTTTTAAGTAGCATAATACGGATCTCTCTTTTTGAATTACTTGGATTAGTAGTTATGTTTTAGTTATTATTTACTTAGTGAATATTAAAGGAAAAAAAAATAGAAAAATTGAATTGCTATTTATTAAGTATTATAATTCGTGAAGTTAATGAAAATATTTGATACTAATTATTTACTAAAGAAATAATAATTAAAATAGAATTACTAATTTAACTAATTAGATAAGGCAAGATATTGTTTAATTACTAAAAATAATTTTTTGAAAGATGAATTAACCTAAACATACTAAGTTTATATTTATTTTTAAGAAACAATCTTTCCCGACGAAATTTCGCCGGCATAGGTAAATTTCGTCAGGAGAGATCTAATCCGACAAATTTTTGTCGGCATAGATCTTTCCCGACGAAATTTCGTCGGGAGAGATGTTTTGTTTTTAATTTCAAAATATAAAATTAGTTTCTTTACTTTTGTTTTTTGGCCAACTTCTTTAATTTAATATATGTAATTAAGTAACATCTTAGCCTTTTTGAATTACTATAATTAGTAATTATGTTTTAATTACTTTTTTTTAGTGAATATTTAAATATGTTACTTACTTAATAAATAGTGCATTTCGTTTTTTATTTTTTTATATTAAATAATAATTAAAATATAATATATTTAAAGAGTATCGAATCGCTGTATTAATACAATAAGCAATGTGTTTCTATAAGAACAAATTATACAAACTGCAAAATAAAATAACACTGAAATATGTCTTATTCTTGGCGACCTTGAGTATGCTTCTTCTCCAAAATGCAAAGTTAAAAAAAAGTGTCTTGTTCTTTTAATTTAAATTTTGCTGTGCAAAAACCGAAAAATAAATTACTTATTTTCATTTCGATATGTATTTTTTTTTCTTTTTCTTACAAATAGTATAGCCTAGCGCCTAATCCCAAGGAGTTTAGTCCCAAACAGATTCCCAGAACCATTTTAGTGTCCAGGCAAACAAACCAATCCAATCAAAATGACCAGCAGTTCTTGTAAGAAACTGAATAATCCAAACATCAGATAACATAGGATCCAGTATTGGTCGTCCCTAGGAGTGAAAAGTGAAAAGCAAAGAAATAGGACTGGAAAACAAAAAAAACCAAAGTAAGTTTAGAACAAGAGCAAGCCATAAAGGATAAAGATAATATACTCAAAAAAGCAAAAATAGAACCAGTTCACAGCTTGAGGAAAACTAATCCATAAAAGATTAACACAGTACCACTGTTCCATCTTACTTTCGGAAGAATCAAGCCAAAATTATAATAAATATATAATTAAAATAAGCGGAAGTCAACAAAGACAAATTAAAATGACCTAAACCAAGTTATAGGAGATTTTTTATTCTAGGTGGTGGCTATCCAAGGGTTTTGAATTTTCATATTTCACAATTCCTAATATTCGATTCGCGCATTATTAGCTTCTTCATGCTGCAGGGCTTCTATTTCCAGCTTCATGGTAGTTATTTCTTCTTGTTTTGACTGATTCATTCTAGCCCAAAGGGTTCATCATCCTCGCACTCACTGAGTCATAAGAATGAGAAACTTTGTTATATAAAAAATGCACCAGAATTCCAACCTACAAATTAAATGTTATTGATTAAAAAAAACACAAGAAACGTGAAGGAAACTTACGGTGTGAAGCAGAAAACAAGATCGAACCATTCAGAGCCCTTGATATCCACAGAATGAAGGGTTGAATATATGGTCTTGATCATATGTCTTCCTCCTTTAATATTTTAAAGTATGGCCCTTTTAAGTAGCGTAATAAGGACCTCTCTTTTTGAATTACTTGGATTAGTAGTTATGTTTTAGTTATTATTTACTTAGTGAATATTAAAGGAAAAAAAATAGAAAAATTGAATTACTATTTATTAAGTATTACAATTCATGAAGATAATGAAAATATTTGACACTAATTATTTACTAAAGAAAAAATAATTAAAATAGAATTACTAATTTAACTAATTAGATAAGGCAAGATATTGTTTAATTACTAAAAATAATTTTTTGAAAGATGAATTAACCTAAACATACTAAGTTTATATTTATTTTTTAAAAAAACTTTCCCGACGAAATTTCGTCGGCATAAGTAAATTTCGTCAGGAGAGATCTAATCCGACAAATTTTTGTCGGCATAGATCTTTCCCGACGAAATTTCGTCGGGAGAGATGTTTTGTTTTTAATTTCAAAATATAAAATTAGTTTCTTTACTTTTGTTTTTTGGCCAACTTCTTTAATTTAATATATGTAATTAAGTAACATCTTAGCCTTTTTGAATTACTATAATTAGTAATTATGTTTTAATTACTTTTTTTTAGTGAATATTTAAATATGTTACTTACTTAATAAATAGTGCATTTCGTTTTTTATTTTTTTATATTAAATAATAATTAAAATATAATATATTTAAAGAGTATAGAATCACTGTATTAATACAATAAGCAATGTGTTTCTATAAGAACAAATTATACAAACTGCAAAATAAAATAACACTGAAATATGTCTTATTCTTGGCGAACTTGAGTATGCTTCTTCTCCAAAATGCAAAGTTAAAAAAAGTGTCTTGTTCTTTTTAATTTAAATTTTGCTGTGCAAAAACCGAAAAATAAATTACTTATTTTCATTTCGATATGTATTTTTTTTTCTTTTTCTTACAAATAGTATAGCCTAGCGCCTAATCCCAAGGAGTTTAGTCCCAAACAGATTCCCAGAACCATTTTAGTGTCCAGGCAAACAAACCAATCCAATCAAAATGACCAGCAGTTCTTGTAAGAAACTGAATAATCCAAACATCAGATAACATAGGATCCAGTATTGGTCGTCCCTAGGAGTGAAAAGTGAAAAGCAAAGAAATAGGACTGGAAAACAAAAAAAACCAAAGTAAGTTTAGAACAAGAGCAAGCCATAAAGGATAAAGATAATATACTCAAAAAAGCAAAAATAGAACCAGTTCACAGCTTGAGGAAAACTAATCCATAAAAGATTAACACAGTACCACTGTTCCATCTTACTTTCGGAAGAATCAAGCCAAAATTATAATAAATATATAATTAAAATAAGCGGAAGTCAACAAAGACAAATTAAAATGACCTAAACCAAGTTATAGGAGATTTTTTATTCTAGGTGGTGGCTATCCAAGGGTTTTGAATTTTCATATTTCACAATTCCTAATATTCGATTCGCGCATTATTAGCTTCTTCATGCTGCAGGGCTTCTATTTCCAGCTTCATGGTAGTTATTTCTTCTTGTTTTGACTGATTCATTCTAGCCCAAAGGGTTCATCATCCTCGCACTCACTGAGTCATAAGAATGAGAAACTTTGTTATATAAAAAATGCACCAGAATTCCAACCTACAAATTAAATGTTATTGATTAAAAAAAACACAAGAAACGTGAAGGAAACTTACGGTGTGAAGCAGAAAACAAGATCGAACCATTCAGAGCCCTTGATATCCACAGAATGAAGGGTTGAATATATGGTCTTGATCATATGTCTTCCTCCTTCTCCAACAACAATTTGAAATGTGGTGATACTAAGATATTGAACCTTGAGATGTCCATCGCACCAGCCAGTCTGGACATGGAAAAAGTCATGGTTCCCCAAATGAACCAAATACTGTGACCTATCGTTATACCATGGCAGCACCGGACGCTCGAACTCAAGGCCTTGCAATATAAAAAGTTGTCTTAGGGAATAATGAATACCACTATCATCATGTTTGTCCATAGTAAAGGAGAATGCTATAATCTTTGACTCCCCATATAAGGCATAGATAGTCTCGTCTACAACCACGGCCCTCCCTTGGAAAGGAGGAGCACAATAAGCAGAAGTGTCAACTTTCACTCGATTCCAATCCTTTCTACCCACGTGAAAAGCAACGACACCGAATTTCCCGTTCCTCAAGCCAGACAATGAAAACAAAATAGCACCATAACAAACGGCATAACCAGTTAGTTGCATACGGGGGTCATAATCATCATAAAATGGAAAAGGAGTCATTTGCCTCCAAATATTCTGATCATGATCATATCTCCCGAAGGAGGGCCCCGTAACTGGTGACAGGAAGGTTGATGGACATGCGAGATAATAAACCTTGCCATACGCAGACACAATAGTTTCTAGTGATTTAGAGGCTGGGATAGGAGGAATGGATGAACATTTTGACCAACTCTCCGTGTCAACAATAAATCCACCATCATGTCCAATGCAATATAATTTGGAGTGGTTGAAAATCCGTGCAGCATCATGGCAAGAACCCTTGCGAAACTTGGCAACATGTCTAACTACTGGGGATTCTTGAGTGACTTCTCCTCCGTGTTTGAATTTCACTTCATAGACTGCATTAGCGTGCTCATCGTCCTCATAAGAAGACACGAATAAATATACAGATCTAGCTTCCCCTTGATTTACCGTCATTGATACATGCTCCCAATCCCCGGGCAAGCTGAACAGAGAAAAAAGATGTATACAACAAGTCAAGTTAATCTTTTCAAAGACCTACCCTACCCTGCCTAGAGAGAATTTATCTAGTAGAAACTGGTTATTACATATTTCAAGCAAATTATTCAAAATGCATGCAGCAGCAAGAGAAAACTTAAGCAAAATTCTCTGAGAAACTAAACAAAAAACAACAACAATGAGAACTAAGAACCGACCTTGGGTAAAGATCATCAGCCTCATGGTTGGGATTGCAGTACTCAATCACCGTGGAAGGTGGAAGCGGCTCCGTCATTACGGGTGGACCGGGGTGTCGGAAGCGAAGCTCCTGCGTTATTGATTTCGACCAATCCAACAGTTGGCCCAGAGTTTTCTCCATCTCCGATATCTTGCCCACAGATTTCTCCATCTCCGATATCTTGCCCAGTAGTAGATCATCTTGGTGTGAAGCCATCGTCAAGGCATGGCCTTGACTCGAGGTAAGCTCGGCGGCAGCCACAGAAAATTGAGACATACACCGATCTCCCATGATAGGGCCTTTGCTATTGGAATGCTTAAATTGAGGCAAAACGGGAATTTAATTTAGGATTTGGGGACCCGCGGCAGAAGGGGTTGTATGATATGAAAGTTTCAAACTCTGCGGAAAATTCTATAAATATAAAGATAGAAGATCAGATGCTGTCATTAATATCCGTAAAGTCTGAATTCCAAAGCATGTATTTATATAATGACCTAATTAATCTTGCTAGAAACAGGAATGTAAGCCTAAATCTACTAGAAATAGGAAACTTATTAGTTATTTTCTTTTATATTTTTTTTTCTGAAGGAAGAAACAGAAAACCTTTCTATTATTATTATTATTTTATTTTTTTTGGGAAGGAAGAAACAGGAGACTTAATAGAAGAAGAAACTAACAAACATACCCCTTTTATGATTTTTGGGTTTGTTACTCGTTTTATGAGATTGATCGGTTTGTTACTCTTTTTTACGAGATTGGATTTTAGGGCCAATTGAGTAAGCGGTTTAGTTCAAACTCCTATATAATTTACCTTCTTCTCTCCCTCCCTCCCTCTTGGATATCTCTTTCACTCAGTATCTTCTTTGGCTTCACTCTCGTTAATCAAACCACATATCTCGTACGTTTTTGCCTCATTGTCAACGACAATCAAAGGTTAGCTTATGCTTTCTCATTTATAACATAATTTTTGTTTTCTTTTGTTTTGTTTTGAACATGGAGGTTTTTTTTCCATTGTGGTGCATGGTTGTTTTTGTTTTATTTTGTTTTGAACATTGTGTTGTTTTTTGTTAGAGTTGTGCTCAAGTGTTTTGTGAGAATACTCTTCGTTTAGAGCTCAAGTGTTTTCTACGGATAAGCTAACCTTTGATTGCTAGCATATTTATGTTGATGTGGTATGGTTTACTGTGGGATTTTTAATTTCTCTTTTTGGTTGGTCTTATTTAATCTCTCAGTGTTAGTCTTTTCAAATTTGTTATTCATGATGTTTGTTTGGTGTTATTTATAACTGACTCTTTCTGCACAAATATTTGCTTTCTAACGCTGGAAATAATTTTTTTGGGTAAAATTTATTTTCATATATATATATTAACGACATGTTTAGCGTCTAGGTAATATTTTTCTTTTTATTGCACCTGTTATATATGAGCACTAAAATCATATGATCTAATTTTTAATTTTTAATTTTTAATTTTCAGGAAATGGAGGTTGATCATGATCCCATTGACACCGATTACATTGATTACATTAAAATTCAATGGCGCAAGAATAATTTAAAATACAAAGTCATGGGTTCTCGTATTAGCTTTTATAATTTTGATGTTGATTATGCTAGCGGGAAACAACATTATGATGGTGAGTTGTTCTTCAAGGAAAATAAACAAGGTGGAATGCCTGTGACATTTATAAATATGGATGCTAAGGCTGGAACTAAATTGAGTGTCGAAGAAATTTTTAGGTTGAATATTAAACTATATGATAAAAGGATTCTCCGCCCATGGATGTATACATTTTGCAAACAGAAATCATTCAATGATGAATTATGCAGTGAGGCTGAAAGAAAGATGGTGAAGGGTTGGTGGAGCTTGTGTTATGAAAAGTTTGATAACACACTCACTGAATGGTTGGTCAAATTACAAAACAAAGAAATTAGTGATCCTGACAAGTTGAACTTCAACGTTGGAAATAAGTGCTTATCTGATTTCTGGCGTCTTACAATACGGTGAGCGGAATAGTATTTTTGTTTTAGTGCTATTAATTTATTATGGTTTAGTTAACTAATGTATTTCATGATTTGACAGGGAATTAATAGAGGCAATTGCTTACATTCATGATTGTGGGTTCTTCCATGGTTCGTTGAAGGTATCTGGTAATTATGTTGTTGTTGGGGAACAAGTGAAACTATGTAACATCGGTGGTTTTTTGAAGAGCCTTAGAGTACATGATCAACATTCAAGGAAAATCCAAGATTTCAAAGATTTCAGGGACACTCTGAAGAAGTTGATGACAATAGGACATGGTAAATGGCCTGAGCGTGATAGTTTTTTTAAATGTTTTGACGAGCTTGCAAAATTATATGGGTAAGTTCTTTTGAACTTTTGTTTTTTTGTGTGTGTGTGTGTGGAATATATGTTGTTACTTGTGTGTTTATGAGTTTTTTTTGGTTTGTCTTTTCAGCTATGGAAAATATGTTGAGAAATTGAAGAAGCACCCCTTTTTATTAACTCCTTATGAAAGGGTGAAACATATTGTCGGTATTTATTATGATGATAAGTTTATCGTGGAGGATAAGTTGAACCACAGTGGTAATTTTAATGTGTTCCGAGGTTGGACCAGAGACAGACATAAGTTGGAGCCGTTTTTGCGTAAAATACTTGAGACTGGTAAGGGTAAACAATATTCTGATCAACCGTCAGAGCTTTTAAGGTTCCTGCGAAACACCTATCAGCATTATAGACAATATAGTGATGAGACGGAAGGTATCAATATCGAGCACGTGGACACTATTTTCAGAACACGTTGGGTTGATTTTTTTGATAGGATTCATCTCATCGGTTAGATTGGCATGTTTTTCGTGATCATAGCTTAAAAGAAGTTTCTTAGACTACTACAACTAGATAACATCAATTTGTATAAGATACTTTAATGCGTACTAGTCTAATTGTTTGTTTGTTGTTTTTTTTGGGGGTGTTTTTGGACATGAGTTACTTTATTTATATAAATAAAAGTCAAGAATTTAATATCCTTTCCATCTCATGCCTTTGAGTAAAATTTCCCAAGCCTTCTTATGAATATTGGTAGAAATCTATTCTAAAGAATTGGAATGAATGATTGAAGTAAGGAAGGATGACACTTATAGGAGAGGCTACGGATGCAATCAAATAATAAGATAGAAAAGTAAGGGAATAATGTGACTCTCATTCCCCTTTTGGCCAATGATATCACAACCCCACCACCAGAATATATGATAGAAAAATAAAGGAATAATGTGACTCATCCCCCTTTGGCCAATGATATCACAACACCACTTGTTACTAGCATGCAAGGTGACATGGCAATGATGATTTGATTAAAAACCAATTCCAAGTATCTACACATGGAAAACAAGAATGGTGACATCTTTTACCTAAAGGAATAATCTCATACTAGGCTTAAGATTTTATAACATTTAGTTCTTCATAATAAATGTTAAATAAAGAAAAGCCACATTAATAAATAATTAATATGTAGTATGAATATTTCTTTAAAACAATAATTTAAAAAGTTTTAAAGAAACAAAAACAGGTTCTCACAGAGAATGAATATTATTGGACTATGGTCCGAACCACAAATAGGAAGGACATCAAGAAAGCAATAGGGTACATTCTAAGAAAATCCTGCGAGCAGAAAGCTCGATCAATACGGTTTTCCAGTTGTTGATTACTAGTCCAGGTAAAAGAATTACCTTTCGAAGCTACTTCAATGACGCCAGCAGAGTGAATAAAGTCTTGAAAGTTCAACATGTATTCTAGTGACAACATTAGATCCACCTAATTTTTCATGTAAAGAAAGGATTTTTTGTTTTCTTCAAAACCTTTCCTATTGAGATGGGTAATAACATACTAAACGATCATTCATGTAGTGAATACCAACTTGAACATTATTGTCATTCGAAGTTAGAATCATTCCACCAGCCATACCATCAGGTGGAATCTCTATAAACCTATTAAAACCAAAAGTAGTACATTTAACTTCAAAAGATCTAGAGGACAACTTGGTTTCCATAATAAAAATAATATCTGGACTATAAGTCCGATCCAACAAAAGCAATTCCGATTTAAACCCAGATCAAGAACAACCTTGACCATTCCATGAGATGGGAGAAACTTCATATAGTTCTGATATATAGAAGAAAGGCCCACCAAAGGCTTGTTCAGTTTCCTTCTTAGTCCCAAACAGAATCCCAATACCATTATAGAGTGTCCAGCAAACAAACCAATCCAATCAAATTGACCAGCAGGTCTTGTTAGAACCTGAATAATCCAAACCACAGATAACATAAGATCCAGTATTATTGGTCCATAGGAGGGAAAAGAGAAAACCAAAGAAATAGGCCTAAAAATCAACCAAATAGTTTAGAACAAGAGCAAGCCATAAAGGATAAAGATTATTATACCCAAAAAAAACAAAAATAGAACCAGGTCACAGCTTGAGGAAAACTAATCCATAAAAAGATTAGCACAGTACCACAGTTTCCATCTTACTTTCGGAAGAATCAAGCCAAACTTATAATAAATATAAAATTAAAATTAGCGGGAGTCAACATAGACAAATTAAATGACCTAAATAGGAATTTTTTTCTTCTTGGTGGTGGCTATCCAATGCTTTTGAATTTTCATATTTCACAATTCCTAATATCCGATTCGTGCATCATTCGCTTCTTCATGCTGCATGGCTTCTATTTCCAGCTTCATAGCAGTTATTTCTTGTCTTGGTTGATTCATACTAGCCATACTCTCCTCTTCTATGTGTTCATAATCCTCGCACTCACTGAGTCATAAGAATGAGAAACATTGTTACATAAGAGATGCAACAAATTTCCAACGCACAAATTAAATCTTATTGATAAAAACACAATAAAAGTGAGGGACACTTACGGTGTGAAACATAAAACAAGATCGAACCATTCAGAGCCCTTGATATCCACAGAATGAACAGTTGAATGTATGATCTTGATCATATGTCCTCCTCCTTCTCCAACAACAATTTGAAACGTGGTGATACTAAGATATTGAACCTTGAGATGTGAATCGCACCAGCCAGTCTGGACATAGAAAAAGTCATGGTTCCCCAAATAAACCAAATACTGTGTCAAATCGTCAAACCATGGCATTTGCGGACGAGCGAACTCCAGGCATTGCAATATAAAAAGTTGGCTTAGGGAATATGCAATATCATCATCACCGCCTTTCTCCATCTTAAAGGAGAATGCTATAATCTCTGCCTCGCCGTATAAGGCATAGATAGTCTTGCCTACAACCACAGCCCTCCCTTGGAAAGGAGGATCACAGCAAGCAGAATTGTCAACTTTCACCCGACTCCAATCCATTCTACCCACATTAAAAGCAACGATGGAAAAATTCCCGTTTCTCAAGCCACACAATGAAAACAAAATAACGCCATGACAAACGGCATAACCAGTTATTCGCATATGGTGATCATAATCATCATAAAATGAAAAAGGAGTCATTTGCTCCCAAACCTTCTGATTAGGATCATATCGCCCGAAGGAGGGCTCCGTAACTGGTTCGAGGCTTGATCGACGTGCAAGATAATAAACCTTATCATACGCATACACAATAGTTTCTAGTGAATTGGAGGCTGGGGTAGGAGGAATAGATGAACATTTTGACCAAGTCTCCGTGTCAATAATAAATCCACCGTCATCACCAAAGTAGTATAAATTGGAGTGGTTGAAAACCCTTGCAACCTTAGGGAAATAACCCTCTTGGAACTTGGCAACATGTCTAATTAGCGGGACTTCTCCTCCGTGTTTGAATTTCACTTCATAGACTGCATTAGTGTAAATCCCGTCATAGTAAGATGACCCGAGTAAACATATAGATCTAGCTTCCCCTTGATTTACCGTCATTGATGCATGCTCCCAATCATCAGGCAAGATGGACAAAGAAGAGAGATGTATACAACAAGTCAAGCTAATCTCTTTTTAAAGCCCTACCCTGCCTAGTGAGAATTTATCTAGTAGAAACTGGTTATTATATATTTCAAGCAAATTATTCAAAATGCATGCAGCAGCGAGAGAAAACTTAAGCAAAATTCTCTCATAAACTAAACAACAACAAAAAAAAAAAAACAACAACAATGAGAATTAAGAACTGACCTTTGGTAAAGATCATCAGCCTCATGGTTAGGATTGCGGTACTCAATCACCGTGGAAGGTGGAAGTGGCGTCGTCGTTATGGCTGGACCGGGGCCTTGTAAGCGAAGCTCCTGCGCTATTAATTTCATCAAATCGAACAATTGGCCCAGAGTTTTCTCCATCTCCGGTAACTTGTCCATAGATTTCTCCATCTCCGATATCTTGGCCAGTAGGTCATCTTGGCGTGAAGCCATCGTCAAGGCATGGCCTTGACCCGAGGTAAGCTCAGCGGCGGCGGTGGTGGAAAATTGAGATATATACCGATCTCCCATGATAGGGCCTTTGCTATTGGAATGGTTCAATTGAGAGGCAAAATGGAATTTAGGGTTTGGGGATGCCGCGGCAAAAGGGGTTTTGTTGGGTATGATATGAAAGTTTCGAAATCACTGAAAATTGTAGAAATATAAAGATAGAAGAGCAGATGCTTTCATTAATATCCGTAAAGTCTGAATTGCAAAGCACGTACTCATATAACGACCTAATTAATCTTCCTAGAAACATCAGACCGAAAAAAAATCTTCCTAGAAACAAAAAAGTAATCCTAAACCTACTAGAAATAGGAAACTTACTATTTAGTTTTTTTTCTTTTTTTTCTTTTTTTTTTAGAGTGCTGCTAAATGAACCATAAAATTAACTGAGTACACCATACTACCAAACTACTTATTGAATTACTAATTTATCATAATATAAAATGACCAAAAAGGATATATTAAATTGTGAAAAAAAATATAATTTTAATAAGTACACCCTACTCACCATATTCAACCCTAATCAAACGTAGAGAAGTTTTCATACAACAAACAACCCAGTGAGCATTGACGGAGGCGCAATTGCATATTTGCATGTAGGATGGTTGGAATAAAAAAGAATGAAAAATTCCAAAAGAATGACCACAACATTGAGCAAGTCTTCGGTCTGAAACACATTGTGGATGAAGCCAAGCAACATCAAAATGTGAAGTAACTGGTCTTGGTAAATTTGTAACTTTCTTGGACTAGCGGCGAGTGCCATGGAACTACCAACTGTTCTTTTATAGTGGTTTTACATAGAATTTCTTTAGACACAGCAAGATATTGCTGGGATTTTAAAATCCATAATTTTGTGTCCTTAAAAACGGTAGGTCATAGTAGAGATCCCCTGGAGAAATATTTATTACGATATTTAGAATTATAACATGAACATGGGTGCTTATTGGGAAATTAATTATAGATATGTGTGATGTTGAAGAGTTATACAGAGTATTAGGGTTGTGTGATAGAGTGTATTAGGGTGTACCAGGGGTATTTTTGGTACTTAAATAGGGTGTACATAGTTAAGTTTATATTTTGATGAAAATATTAGGGTGTACTTAGATGATAGGTTGTACTCAGTTAATTTTAGGGTTCGTGTCACACCCCAATTTATTCACTTAATTATTGAGAGTGTGAGGTAAAAGAAAAACTAAAACTAAAAATTTAAATAGCAAGAAACATGAGAATTAAACATAAAACTTCTATTTAAACCAGAGTAATTTACATTGTGATTTTACAAGCAAAATAACATAAAAATACAGACTTTTAACAAAACATCTAAAACTATCTGCAACACTTTCTTCTTGTTTTCTTGTCACAACTAAACTTCAGATTCAGAACCTGCAATAAATTCATTAAGGGGTGAGCATTACATGCTCAGTAGGGGCCCTATATGATTAGTGAGATTTTTAATGTACAAATTATGTAGTGTATGAATGAACTTCAATTCTACCCAACCCGTTAATCTATATAATAGGGCAAGCAAATCTGCATGTCCCATACCATGCATTTTACCACTGTGATTCCGAATGCCCCATTATATAAACTAACACCCATTTCAATCATCCCATAATTCCCCTTTTGCTAGTCATCTTGTCCATACCATTGATCTCCAAGCCCAAATCACCCAATCGACAATTATACCGCCGATTTCCT